TAATTCAGATAAAAGTAAAGACTAAACTGAAAAGGTGGTGGTGAGCTGGAGGGAAGAGAAATTTTTGAAATGTATTTAAAAGCTAAAATCAACAGGTCTTAATGATTGAGCAGAGATGGGAAAGAAAAATTATATAGTCGAGTTTTGAGTCCTACGTCTCTGACTCAAGCAACTGGATAGAGAATGGATCCACCACTTGTACTGTAGCCCAGAACTGTAGAGGAAGCATATTTAAAGTGAAAGTGAACAAATTCATCAGCTCTCCAGCCACAATGTGACCACATAGAGATAGGAGGGAGATGAATTTTGCAGAAAAGAGCATCACATTTAGATTTAGAAGAACTTGGCTCAAATTTTAGTTTTGTTGGTTGCTTCTTCTGGGAAACGTGTATAATATATTAGAAAGTTGTTGTGAGAATTAAATGAGAGGCTGTGTGTGAAGGCACTTTGTAAAGTGTAAAGTGTCAGTTGTTATTTTGAAGTAAATAAGCAGAAGTGATAATGAATTCTAAGAGTTTAGAGATTATAAGGCTCAAAGGCACACTTAATAGACCACATGGTCTATTCTTAGCATGCAGTACTTAAACTACCTCCCTGAGATAGGGATTTATTTTGGTTTTTAAAACTCATAGAGTAAGTAACCTTATTAACCCATTTTAGAGTTTTTAAGCCCTCACTATTTAACAGTACTTAACCTACTCTTATTATTCTCTGATTCCTTTCGTCCTATATCCACAGTTCCCTTACATTCTTGAAAACCCTTCAGGAGGGCTTTCAAACTTTTCTTCAGTAGACTAAATGATACTTTATCTTTTAAACTATCTATAAGCTATTGCATGCATGTGTTTCTCAGAGTGGCCAGATTAAAGTAATAACAACTTCTCATCTCCTTAAATCCTTTTTTGAAAAAAGCAGGCTATAAATAATGAAGGCTTATTGCACGGTGTTTTTCTCAAACCTGAACATCAAGCTTTGCCGCTTATAATTTATATGAGCTTAGATGAGTGACAAGACATTCAGGCTTTAGTTTTCTTATCAGAAGTCAATTCAGTGATGGCTGTTCTCTACTACAGGCAAGAGATGGGACTGAGGCAATAATGGAGTGCTAAAGAGGAACTATGAGGACTAGAAAGTCAAGAGGGGGAGTAGAACTGAAAGCACTTTGCAAACTGTAAATACCTACACCATGCAAAAACCTTTATCGTGCATTATTTTATTTGACCTTCTTTACAGCCCCATGAGGCATTTGCATGTAATGGCACCATTTCAGAGTTGGGAAAAAGCAGATAATGAAAAGGTCAAGCCATGTGCTCAACATCTTGTAGCCAATCAGTGATGATGCCAAATCCTCCCAGATCTACTGACTTTTACTCCATTCACTCATTATTAAATGTGGGGTTTTCTTGTTTTTGCTTGTTTGTTTTTGAGACAGAGTCTCACTCTGCGCCAGGCTGGAGTGCAGTGGCACCATCTTGGCTGACTGCAACCTTTGCTTCCCAGGTCCAAGCTATTCTCCTGCCTCAACCTCCCAAGTAGCTGGGACTACAGGAACGTGCCACCATGCCCAGCTAATTTTTTTATATTTTTATTAGAGATGGGGTTTCACCATGTTGGCCAAAATGGTCTCGATCTCTTGACCTCGTGATCTGCCCACCTCTGCCTCTCAAACGTGTTCTTTTGAGCTCTTATTATCTATGATGCATTAGGTGCTTGGAAAAAAACAAAACAAAACAAAACTACAGACCCTACCCTTCCTCACTGACTTCCCTAACCCTTCACCAGAGCTCACAGCCTAGTAGGGATGAAAAACAGATAAGGCCCTTGAGATCTAGATCTAATACCCACACCATATCTGAACCAACAAAAGTTTATTAGAATTTGATTAGCTGTTCGCTTTATTTTACAGAAGCTTGAATTAACCTCTATGTTGAATCATTTGGAGTATGAATTTGGGGAAAATGTTTATTCCATATATTATAGCATGACAAAAATATAAGCTTCCTAACCAATAACTTTACCAATACGATGATATCTATATTTTCACCAGTAGGGCCCTGGATTTGTCTGAAATGGCAAGAAAAAAATTCTCCACTTTGGTAACCCTACTTTGCTAAATGTGGCCATTTGCTCTTGTTCTGACCAAAGAAATGGAGGTAGAAATCTAGTCAGTTAAGATTTTACTAAAAGTATTGCCTTCCTGAAAAAAAACAAAAGACAGACTCAGCCAGCTTACACTTTTGCTTTTTATCTTCCCTCTTCCCACACTCTCTTTTTTCTTGGAATTGGATGTGATGCTCAAAGGAAAATAAAAGCCATCTTGGAAGAAAGTCAAGCAGTAAGGGAGTCAAAGCAGAAAGGTAGGTAGAGCTCGAGGTCTGGACAACATCATGGAGCTACCCTAAAGAACTAGAATTTGTACCCCCATACTTGAGTAGTTAAGAAAAATAAAACCCTACTCTATTAAACCACTGAGGCCAAATTTCTATTACATGCAGTCTAACACAATTAACAATATAAGTGCAGCCCATATTTTATTAGCAATGAGGAATACCAGCGAGCACTCTCTGACATAAAAGGACAGTGACAAATGTCACAGAGCTACCTGGACTTTGTTTTTTGTTTCTGTACTATATCAGCAATTTGAAAGCAATAAATGAGAATAACCTATAACAATTAGTGTTCTTAATTGAGATCTCTAAAATTTCTTTTAATATGGTTGCTAGATCACAATTTTTGGAGTAGTACAGATATCCCTAGGGTGATTGGATGGTGTCTGGTCAGAACTGTTCCCTGTGTGCCCTTCCCCTATTTGTTTGATATTTCACTGCCACAACACAAAGAGATAGGTGTATGTGAGATATCTGAGACACAGTAGCTTAGAACAGATGCTTGTATAGTCTGATGATGGAGATGCAAAATAGATTCTCTCCAAGATTAGTCTATTTACATGGAGTTATAGATTCACACCATCTGGATACAAACACAAGCAAGCATTAATGTCTTGGTCCTGCTGAAGTGTAGTGGAAAAAAGAATAGAGGATCCCTGGTAAAGAAGAGATGAAGTCTTCAAATCTCATGCCACTCCAGGCAGGGTGTGGTGCAATTGTTCTCACAGCCGCAGTTCCTGTGAGATCTGGATCACTTTATCAGTGGGTCCCAATGTGTACAAGAGTGACAGCATGGGCTAGCTGAGTGTCCCAGTGCCTCGGGCTGTGCTGGAGAGCTAGCCATAGTACCATCCTCTAATAAGGCTGGAGGAGATAGACCTGACCCTTGTCAGAGGTAGCAGGGCAGCAGAGATTAGGCCAAGAGCTTTACCAATGGTAACTAACTGTGCACATATTGGACCGACAAATATCAAAAATGGCAAGGAATTCAAGAGCAGGAGACCTCAGACTAAAGTAACTCATTCTCCAATCTTCTAAAAACATATACCTAAGAGCCAATACACGTTGCTTTTGAAGAAAAACGGCTATATTAACTTCTGGTTGCATGGCTGCAATGGCTGGTTTCATACCCAAGGCCTAAAAGCATTTTATTTTTACTACTTCAGGGTCAGTCTGAAAAGTAATGAGAGGAAGATAAATAGCAGGGGAAGAGGATCTCTGTGCCTTCTTCTCAAGACAGATCCAATAAAAATGCTGAATAAACCATTTGCAGATTTCCAATAAGATAAGAAATCCTTGCTTCAAATGCAAAGAAAAAAGTCTTTTTAATCATTCAACAAATATTTATTGAATGCTGATTCTATCAGGCTTGGTTCCTTTAATTATATCATTTTTCATTCTGTATGTATGGGTTTGCACCATACAGGTTACACGTGGCAAGCTTTTTCCCTGGCCTGACTTTCCAGCCAGCCAACATGCTTCTCAGCCCCTTCTCTCTCCCCATATACTTTGTCTTTGCTTTTCTCCTACTCTTCTCTCATCCAACTGCTGCCAAATATCTTCCAAATGCAGAAGGACGACAAACTAATTTTACTATAAGCTTAAGCAAAGCAAATAAGATGTAAATCCTCTGCCAAAGAAGTCAAAGAGTGCATTCCAAAGTCCCATTTTTATAAGCAATTTCAAATGATCTACCATGTGGTGTGATTCAGGACACTGTTCTTCTTCCATTAACTGAGTTAATTTTATGACCTCTTCGTTTCGACACCTGACATTCTAGAATTAAATTCAGCATGCTAAGAGTTCCTGTTACTCTCTGCTGTGGTGAACAGCCACCAATGTTATATTGAAAGGCACAGAAAGTCAGCTCAGTTCATTCGCACCATCACCCAATCCCACCAGCAGTTTGCTTATATATGACCTTTGAGAGTTCCCAAGACACAAGCAAATTTCTGGATCACTAAGTCCACATGTCAGTAAAAATTTCACAAAAACCACAAGTGAAAAGATGGTGAAGTAGCTCTGAAAATAATAAGGATCCAAACTGATATCCAGAGATAGAGCATCTCATAACCCAAAAGTTGTGCCAGGAAATTCTTTTAGTCCATTTAACCTTTGCTGCCTCTCCAAGTCTCTCCCTCTCATTGAGATGTAACTGCTTGCTTGTCTAGAGTTAACTTTCTTAGGGATTTGTTTTCACAAACCTTTAATTTGTATCATTTTTTCCTCTTCTCTTTCTCCTCTTTCCATTTTCTTCTTTTATTCTTCTGATTTCCCATTATTTTTAAATCTCATGCCTTTCTTTGCTCCAAATGACATTTGCTAATGCTGTCAAATGAAATTCAAACCTAAATTCAATTTTCTGATTGCTACTGGAGATGGTATGCTCACAATGCTTCCAGAGTGTCCTTCCAACACGTAAATGAGATCGTATTACTCTGCTGCACAAAATTCTTCAACTGTCCTTACTAGAATCTCAAAGTTAAATCAAACTTCTTTAGCAGGACCTTCATGTATTCATTTGATCAAATGAATGTGTGTTTACTGAGAGACTGTTATGTGCCAGGCATGATTCTAACACACAGAAATATAATAGTAAACAAAGTGTCATGCCTGCTTTGGCAGCACATATACTAAAACTAGAACGATACAGTGAATACTAGCATGGCCCCTGCATGTGGCTGACATGCAAATTCCTGAAGTGTTCCATTAAAACAAAATGCCTTTCTCCCATGGAATTTACATTCTAGTACAGAAGAGGGAGAGAGAGAGAAGAAGAATATCATTTTTGGTATAAAATATGAAGAAAATAAAAGCTATTAAGGGTCAAGAGTGACTAAGGGAGGGAGCTCTTTAGCTAGGATGGTTAGGGATGTCCTCTTTGAAGCAGTGACATTTGCCCTGAGACCTGAATAACAAGAATAATAAACTCTTAAGATTAAATTGTTAGTGACCTGTGCAATTCAGTTATATCAATGATTTTTTCCCTTATAATATGAATTTTACTTTGTAAGACATATTTTGAATAGCAGTCTAACTTTGTCTATTTTTATATACTGCTTCCTTGCAGATTACAGTTTTGTATTTGTGTGTGTCCTGTAAGTTAATAGAACTTTACAGTCCAAGAGAGCAAACTATCTTCCTTCCAGTTAGTCCTGCAGCTACTCAAAATATGGGTCTTATTGGGATTGTAACTCCTAAGTATTGTGAGACCTTGGGCAAATGGGTTTCCTTTTCAGGTAGAAAATGAGACCTTCTACTATCCAAGACCCTTCCAAGTCTAAAATATCTAAAATGGCATGATTCCACTTTGGGTCATATGTTTATGATCTACAAAAAAAACTAGCACCTAAATTGACAAAAATCTATTTGTCTATGAAACAACATTTGAGTGGAATAGAGGTAATTAATAATGATTGGTGACTTTACTAAGTTTTAAAAATGAATTTGTGGCTTAACATCTTGCAGACCTGTTATGTATGCTAAGAGGCTTAGTGCTTCAATGTTAGTGTTTTGCTCCTTTTGAATTCCAACGTCTGTCGTTTTAGAAAACCTAATGAATGGCCTTATCTTTTCAGTTGCAAATAAGATAAACAACAGGAAAATTGGACAATAATAGGTAACACTGATTGAGGTCTTATTAAGAACCATGCTCTGTTCTAAGTCTCCATTTGTGAAAATTAACTTACTCCTCACAACATCGATACAGGTCATTATGCTCTTTTCACAGATCAGGACATTAAGGGGTGATCACTTTAATAATTCAAAACTATTTATTGGTAAAGCTGGAATTTGATCACTAGCAGTCTGATATCAGGGGCTATATTTTAATTACTACACTGTACTATAATCTTAAACACTATACTGAAGACCCTAGTTAGATAAAGGCAAATTTGCACTTAACACTAGGGCTCTGAGAGACAGAGAAATTACAAAAGTTCCTACAGTTTTTTTAAAGATAAATTTATCTCTCCACCAAAAGAAGCCGCAATCACTGTGCTTGACAAATATATACTGCCCTTTGCTGAGTCATGATATACAGGTAAGAGGAAGAGTAGAAGTGTAATTCATATATTGCTTTAAGACTTTTGTGCAGTTAAGGGATCAAGACCACAACTAAAACTGAGAAGCAAGTACATGCTAATACCAGTAATTAACTCCCTGAATTAGCATAAGTTATATCTATGGCCAAAATGCATTGAACCTCCTCCACTTTTACCTATCTTAGGTTATATCCAACCATAGATATAAGTCAAGCTAATTCATGAGGTATATCTCATAAGTTATATCTTTGGTCAGTTTCAGGCTTCCTGGTTATAACTTAATAGAGATATGATCACTAGACTCCTGCCAAATAGCAGCGAAATATGACTGCAGGTACCATATTATACACATGTTCAATAAGCATTATGTAAAATTAGGCTGGTGGGCATGCATGCCTGTATAAGAAACAGATGCAAACTAAACACAAGGTTTGTTTATTTTTCATGTACATAAAGGAAAGAGATCCACGGAAATAAGATAACATGTTGCTGGTCCTAGGGACTATTTTTTCTTTTTTTAAACAAGGGAAGAAGCTTCTGAAAAAAGGAATCACATTTGGTCCACTATAGTAACTCACCAGAAGCCCCAGTAGGCACTGTGATCCAAACTATTATTGTTCAGTGAATGAACTCTGATGGGAGATTCTTAGAGGAGGGTTTGCCAACATCACTCTGGCTGTTACTGACCAGTGTCCCAGATCTAACAGACAAAGCCTCAGAAGGAACATGATACTGCCTAAGTCTTGACTATGAGAGGATACCTGTTCTTTCCAGGGTTTTTCAGAGTTGCACAGTCCACTGCCAGGAGTGGGTTTAGCCCATGTCATCTTCATGCAGCTATGAAGGTATATTTACATCCTGCTCAAGTCTATTTCATACATAATGTTTACCATGTGCAAGGCATTTGGAATGAGGCATTAGCAGAGGATGAAAATGAATAAAATACAGTCTCTGCACTCAAAAAGCTGTTTTTAACAAAATCTGTAAATATAATACAAGACAAAATGAAATTCATTCTAATGACATTCTTGGAGAAGAGCTATAGGAGGACAGAGTACTGAGAAAGTTAAAATGTAGTACATCACATGGAATTGGGATGGATCACTCAGTTGCAAGCAACAGGCAACATCTCTAGCTAATGTGAGCAAAGAATAGTTTTAATAAAAGGGTATTGGGTAGCTTGCAAAACCTCTAGAAGGGCCAGGCACGGAAGTTTTGCAAACAAAAGCAGTGTCCAAAACTGCATATGGCAGAGCTGGTCTGATGAAGACACAACTGCAGCAAGAGCTGGACACAGAGTCCACAATGTTTGGTTCCAACTCATGGGCAGTAGACACGCACTCAGTCCCCAGAGCCACTTTCTACTGCCTCAGAAAACTCGATGTTGCTGCTGCCTTTCTCACCAGAACAGAATCCATGCTGTCCCTCCTTTTCCACGTTAGCAGCATCCAGCTTTGAGTGAGGAGTGGCTGTCTCTCATTGCCAAGGTCTGGGTCACATGCCCATCCCTTAGCTTCCGGGGTCTAGGAGAACAACTGTGATGTTTTCAGCTTCTCCAGTAGGAGCCAGCTCTTTATAATGTGATGGAGAGTGGGGGGCTCACAAACAGGGAGGCCAAAATTCCTTGCAACCATCTATTCCATGAAGGAAGCCACATCGAACACTCAGCTTAAGGGCAAGAGATCTGTAGTCAGCACATTTTGGCTTTCATGTCTTCTTTCCTTTGTTCAGTGAGATAATGCTTTTTATCTCTCATTTCCATCCTGTATTTCTTTTTGTCTTAGAGCATTTTACAGTTTCCTTGTTGAGATAATCTGAACTGGGACTCCTAAGATTTATTTAATCATGGTATTTTCATTTGTGTCCAGGATTATAAACAAGGCAATAGTGAAGGGCCAAATGTTTAATTAGAGGAAAAAATGATAATTCTTTGAAATTAGAAGATGGTATCGAATAAAAATAGATATTATGGCATATATTTTCAAGGAGACAGTTGGAGATAATTCATGGAGGTGGATCGTTCATCTCACAACCAAGATAAGTTTGATACTACAGAAGTAGAAGTGACACAATCAGCTATTTGTTTCCAGACAATGAGCAACATGCAATACAATAAATTTAATGATGCAGAATGATTTTAAAAAATGAAAAAATGCAGTAAAGAGGAAAACCTCATCCAAGCATTTAACATGATAATATGGAACAGGTTTCTCTAAGAAACTCTGATTCACTCCCTTGATTTCCTCCTATTATTAAGTGTAAAAGTTTTAATAGCTAAAAAGAACTTTAAATCAAATGATCACACAGCACAAATGGCCCTATAGAAGATTCAAGTCATTCCTTCTGAATTTCAGGCTCATATATGCAAATGTCGACTAGAAGTTCTACTTAGACCCTCTTAAGTACATCCTCCTAACTGAACTCACTACCTTCTCACCAATTCCTGTTCCTTTTCTAGAATTTTCTATTTAGTGAATGATGTCCCCATACACATAGGCAACCTAGTAGGTACTGGAAAGTTGCCAGCAAATCTTCCCTTGCCTAACCTCCTGCATCTAATTTATCTCAAAATTTCTCAAATTTTGTGTTCTAAATATGTTCACAGTCTCTCTGCTTTTCTTTGTTCTCATCTCCACATCAACAGACCCCAGCCGAAATCACAGCATCCTGCACAGGAATCATGGCCATGTGCTCATACCTGCCTTTCCAGCGGACCTGGTCCCCAGAGAACCATCCCTGCGCTGCAGTCAGAAAGCTGCTGAGAGACAGTGCTCTCTTGGCTCCTCTTTGCGTGGATTATTATTCAGATGAATCTGGCTTCAAATTCTGACTTTTCCACTTATTAGGGAAATGGTCTTGGGCAAGTTACTCAACCTCTAAGCCTCAACATCTACATTTTAAAAATAAAAAATAATGCTTTTTAAAATGGAGATTAGTCTGAGGATTAAATGAGAAACTGTGTTGAAAATTCCTAGCACAGTAGCCAGCATAGAGTAAATCCTTCAGTGAAATTTTCATAATCACTATCAGGAATTAAAGTCTTTTTGATGTGGATTCCCAATCAGAGGAGAATTCTAATACAAAGTAGAATTATTTTCTAAAGTAAAGAAGCAGAAAGGACAATGAATAAAGAGTTATTTGCAAGTCATAGGTAACATATGACACCCTTGGAATCTCCTAAGGGAAAAGGCAAAAAGGACCTTGTTTACCTCTCAGTGGGAATAGTATTCAAACACAAAAAAAGAATTCCACTAGACACATGAGAAGTGACAGCAGCAACAGCTGCTGTGCCATTAAATGTTTTACAGGTATTTATTCATTTATGTATTCATCAAACATTTATTAAGCACCTACCATGTGCTCTATGCTTCTCGCTGGAAATACCAACAATAGAATTCAAAATATGCTCTTAAAAAATTCACAGAAAAACCATATTAACATGCTTATATGATAATACAAATACATCCCACATCCTTTGAGATTAATAAGACCAACATAGAGAGAAGAAGGCATTGAAGGGAGTGACCAGAATAGGAGGAAAAGAAAGGGGGGTGGGAAGGTCATCTGGGTCGAAAAGTAGCACCTTGACAAACTCAGATATCAGAGAAGTTCTGGTTGACAAATGGGTGATGAGTCAAAGGTGTGTCTTTTGATGTCACTGAAACATGCATCT